AAAAAAAAAAAAAAAAAAAAAAGTTAAAAAAAACTATGAGATGAATGAAGGACAATACAAAAAAAAATCATAAAAATTCGAGTCTACAAAAATGTATTTTTAGAAGTCATTTGGTGGAAGTCACTGATTCTGGGAATCTAATCATCTGATAGCAAAAGCATGGATACCTTTAGAGTTAACCGCGACTACAAAAAGGTTTGTCAGCCAACATGTGTGCTCTGGATCACAGATACATTCTTTAAACACAGGACTGATTAAAAGAAAAAGAAAAAGAATGAAAATGAAAGAAAACGGTGTTGATATGATCAAATGTTTGAAAATTTGTTCCTTATCACAATTGCTAGATGCTTTAATTTTACTGGTATTATAAAAATGATCCCTATTCAGATGCAGGTTGAAAATCAGTTCCAGTTTCATGTCACTTCCTCTTTCACATATTTGTACTTGCACCCACACTGTAGGGCGTGCTAACCTTAACCTCCATGGACCTGGTTCCACATATGTGGACATCAAATTTTGGATTGTCTAGACCAATACTAAATTTTGCTCTACAAGGGCCTGATATCCACTTACAGGGACATTATACTGCCACAGTTCTATCGAAATTTAAAATGAACGTCCTTATATGTGGATATCAGGCCCTTGTAGAGCAAAATCAGGTAAAAACATAATTCTTTGTTTTTATATTCATCAGATCACAATCGACCCAAATAGCAAAGAGACATTAAAAATACATGCCATGAAAGAGTTGGGGTATTTAGGAGATTAAAGCTTTACTATGGTCATTTTCTAGTGGTAGTAGTCAGCTTGACAGAAGATTACAACCTTGATTACTGACTTGCACATGTTTTCAAAGCAGAGCAGCAGCCCAGAAATTCGAACTTCATTAAAGTTTAAATAAAGCAGGGAGATCTAGCATTATCATCCTCACTGCTTTGAGCAAAACCACCTGTTAGCTGTGGAAATGAGCAGGAGGAAACAGGAAGTTGGATCCATGCTGACGTCACTGAGCTCGCTGTTTAAACTTGCCTTTTGTTCCTGACATGCAGTCACAGTCTGAGTTACACCAATGTTTTCTCTTCAGTTCCAGGGCTCCCTGCTGCACTCATCGGTGTTATTTGTTTTATTGTTGGTGCTCTTGCTGTTGTGGCTGTTCTTGTGGTTAGAAGATACTGTGAGTTTACTAATGTACCATATCAATATTCATCATTTGTTGGCAGGAACATTACAAAGTTTTTGTAATTTCCTTAAGTTAGGTCTGATTTATGTCAAAAACATAAATACTTTGTTTATATTCACACAGTGTGTGACCAGTCTAGTTGTGTTTCTTAAATATTTTGATTTCCTTCCTGCAGGTTCACGAAGAACAGAAAATGGACGACTTGATGTGGTGTAAAATGCTCTTGACTCTAAACAACCTTCAAAAGTGTGAGGTCATATTTTATTTTTTATTTTTTTTAACTTAAGGCTTTAGTCTGTCCTCCAAGTAAATATTGTACTGATTTACTAAAATGTATGTCACAATGCTCAATATTTGGTTATAATATTGACATACTTCAGAGTCAAACCTGAAGATCACCCAAACTGTCACAGTCCAACATTCACTGTCCTTCACGTTCATGGTTTAAAATTACACCACTGTTTCTTCTACTCGTGGTACCAATGTCTTTCACAATCCTCATGAAGTTTTACCTTCACACTTTGCTGAGTTTATATTTTATTATTATGGTTATTCATTTACAGATTTCAGAGTGTTGTTGTCTTCATATAAACAGTCATGATTTATTATTATTAACATGCTTCCTTCCACCTGCACATATTAGCTTTTCTATTTTCACTTTTAACATTATTTTTTTCCTCAAAAGTTAAAAAGTTCCCATGTTGTTTAAAAAAGAAATAGAAAAATTACAATCTTAAAATCACTGTGGATTGATGAGGACACTGTAACCATCCTCGTGTTAACATATACAGTGCATAGTCACTTTTCCATCATTTAAACCTTAATTTGATCATTTACTGATCATCTCAGTGTTTCCTCTCCTGCTGCAGTTTAATGGCTCCTTCTCTGACTCTTTTCCCATTTTCAGTACAAATCTGAGCTGCATTTGGAAACTTTGCTAATGACGTGAAGATGTTTCACGAAATCCTCTTCAATTTAAATGGACCAAACACAGTATGAGGTTTTCTTTAGTTGCCTAACTTTAAGCTTACAGTAATTAAAACCTACCTGAGATTTTCCAAACATGACTTTAACAGTAATTATACTGTCCTGCTGAGATATTGTTAGGACAATACATTTTGACTTTTGACTACCATGGGGCGACCGTGGCTCAGAGGATTGGGAAGCATATCTGTAACCGGAAGGTCGCCGGTTCGATCCCCGGGTTCTCTGTCCTGGTCGTTGTGTCCTTGGGCAAGACACTTCAACTGCCGCCTACTGGTGTTGGTCAGAGGGGCCGATAGCGCGATATGGCAGCCTCTCTTCTGTCAGTCTGCCCCAGGCCAGTGTGTGAATGAATAGTGGCATTTTAAAGCGCTTTGGGTGCCTTGAACAGCGCTATATAAATCCAATCCATTATTATTACCTCTATTCTTCCATAAAAGTTTGTAGCTTTATAAATAATTTACTAAACAAAGTTTCTCTGAGGTTCATGTTTTCATGGGGACAGTGATGGTTTGTTTTTATCATAACAGATTAAAATAATTGTAACTCTAAAAAACTGTCCCATCTGAAGACGTTATAGTTTATTATCTGGATCAGTAAAAAGGACCCACATAAGCTGTGATAAAAAATGAGAAAAATGAGACAAGCATAATTAAAACTCATCAAAGTAAAAAGGACCCTTACTTGTTAGGACTTTACAGAAGTTAAAATATCAAGGGTGTTTTCAGTCGAAAGCTGTCATACAAACAGTGAAGAATCAAAACTTCTCAGATTATATTTGACCCAGTTTAGTTAAACATATGAATTGATGATGGAATATTTGGTTAAACTGAACCCTGTATGCTTCTGGTGTAAATGAATGTGAATGTGTTTTATTTTCGAGATATAAAAATACTTTTGCGTATTGCTTCTTTTTATTTCTAATGTGCCACAGACCTGTCATGTATAATTACATTGTAATATAGTATATTGTTGTTGGCTCAGTTGATTATTTTCCAAATTATATGGATATTGTTGACTGTTGATGTATTTTTTTTATATTCATCCCATCTCACGGAGTCCTTAAGAGTGCACAAGTCTGAATAAAAGATGAAAACAACAAATTATTGCGTCTGTTTTTGGTCTGTGTGTGCATTTCTTTAAATGTTCATAAAGACAGAAGCTATATTACTGTCTCAGTCGAATTCCAAAAATGATACTTATTTTGCAGCAACTGTAGTTTGATAAAATACATTTTGAGGTCAGGAAACCTTTGTAATAATACAGATAAAAACAGGACTTTTACCCTTTGTTGATTCATGTAATCCAGAATATAATCTTGTGGTGTCACATTCAGATGAACTTTAATTTATATTGTTGCTTCTTTTTCCTTAAGCTTTATTTATTATTTAAAAGAGAAGTGACTGCCACTTTCATCTTTTCCGTTAGTTGGCACAGGAGCGAAGGAGTGAAGAAGACGTGAGAGGACGCTGCCTGCCTGTCTATTTTAATGGAATTTTATTGGACTGTTAGTGGTTTTAACTAACCGGCTACTGGCTAGTTTTCTATAATTGTTTTAAATTTTGATTCCTGTTTCCCCTGACCAGGGTTTTGTTTTTTTGTTTTTTTATTATATAAAAAAATTGATTTTAGCAACTTCGTGGATATAGCACTTTTGTACGCATTCACCCAATCACTCAGTCCTTTATAATATCCATGTTAATAAGGCGCACATAAACGATACATCAGACACCTGTTTCCTGGTACTTTGCTCTGGTCAAAATGCTCGACCATGTTATGTCAGTATAAACAAGGAAGAGGACCGAAAATCTATTTGGCTCTGTTTAGTTTTTGTTATTTTCACCCTCATGCTGGCGTGTAGTAGAGATGAAGGGATCTTGTGTCTCTGGGAGTTTCATACCACCAAACTTTGTGGCTACCTTCAGTCGATAACTGTCACTATAACACAGATCAAACAAAGGTTTGATTTCTGAGGAAGACAGTAGGACATGAAAACCATCTGTCCAAATGAAAATAGACCATAATAGGTTTATGGCTCAGCTCAGTGGGTGGATGAATCATAGCTCACTTTATACTTTGAATTTCTTTGGACACAAACTGTAACCATGCCCACATTCTCAGGTTCTCAGTAAACATTTTATTACCGGATATAAAATCGGATCATAAAATCTGAAGTCTACCTGTTGATTAAGATACATGAGAAACCCACTGTGTGTTTTTATAATTCAGCTGAAGGCTGTGAGTCACACTTTATAACACTTCTATTGCACTCTTACATATGATAACATGACAGACTGAAACTGACCAAAGTCAGAGCAAAAAAACTGGAGCTCATGAAATGGTGCAAAACAAAAGTCTGTGAAAGACACTGAAGCTCAGGAGACAGTTCTTAAATCCTTCAGGGGGCTGACCCAGAGGGTGACAGCACAACAGTCCATAGTTCAAATGTTCAGGAGGGCGGCCAAGAGTCCAACAGTGGCGACGGAGCAGATCAGGGGGTCTAGTGAAATTTTGTAAAGGTTCAACACTAATAACACTAGCATAATTTGAAGTTCCTGTGTGTCAGCAGAGCATTTGTTCAAGCCTCTTAGTCTTCACCTGGAATAAACATTTTTGATGATCTGTTCAACGCTCAGGGCCTTCGTTCATTTCAGGACTTAAGGACACTTTTTCCCTTCCTGTGTCTTCTTACTTTGTGCACATGCAGCTCAGATCAGCTGTAAAAGCATATGTTTCCCCTGGGACTCTCCCCTCCATTCTCATCCCATGCTGGACTGGATCTTGCCCAAATCTGTCAGAGCCTCTGTTTCCATAATTTACAACAAATGAGCCAAACATGATGTAAATCCTCTGCCCACTGAATCTACTTGGATTAGGGAACTGGGAGAACTACAGAACTGAATATTTTTAATCTGTTTCTTTCCTAAAGATCTATGTTTAAAGAATAACTTTATTCATCTTTACAGGAGTTTGACCATCAGTGAGAACAATTTTGATCATAACCATGGCAGCAAAACGCCACCACATCCATTCAGTTTTTATTTTAGTTCTAGCTTTAAGATTTGCCATTTGAAGCAACTATAAACACTTTTGCCTTTAAAAAAATACATTATAAGAATTGCTCTGGAGCATTAACCCACCTGGACTCATACAAATAAAAAAGCTGCGATCACAATATTACGATATCAACTGATCCTTTAAGTCCTGTAAGCTGTGAGATTTGGCCTCCATGGATCAGACTTGTTTGTCCACCAAATCACACAGATGTTACATAGAAAAGTAACATCCACATTGATGGCAGGACTTAAAGTTTCCCAGCAGGACATTGCCCAAAGCACCACACACTGCCTCCTCCAAGTCTCCTTTTTCCCATAGTGCATCCTGGTGCCAGGTGTTTCCCAGGTAAGCAATGAACCAAACCCCGTCGTCCACGTGATGTTAAAGAACACGTGATTGATCAGACCAGGCCACCTTCCTCCATTGCACACATGGCCATTGCTGGTGCTTTCAGTGGTGAGCTGGGGTCAGCATGGGCACCCTGACTGTCTACCCCATACACAACATACTGCGATGCACTGTCTATCAGAACCAGCATGAAACCTTATGGCAGTAGTTTATCTGTTGCATCAGAACACACAGGATGACGATCACTCAAATCATTAAACTGTTTCCTGCTTCTAACATCAACTTTGAGGACAAAGAAGAGATGATCAGTGCTGTTCGCGTCAGCTGTCAGTGGACAAACTGTTATACCTGATCAGTGTGAATCAGTCATTAAAGGTATATTCCCTGTACATTATTGTAACGCCTATCCATAAATAAGTGGACAGACAGGACGTAATTCCAGGCTCATCAGTATACCACCCACTCTTTCAGGAACGGTAGAAAGGGTTGGTTGGTGGCTGATGACCCACTGAAATACAGAGATGGCAAAAGTACAGATATTCTGTACTTAAGTAGAAGTACAGATACTAGTGTTAAAAAGTATTCCAGTAAAAGTTGAAGTACCAGCTCTGAAATGTACTCAAAGTAAGAAAGTAAAAAGTATCTGCCATTACTGCCAGCTATTTCTGTGCAAAGCTAACTGAAACTTGTGCTACATTAATGTAACAATAACATAATATCAGTAGATTGAAATAAAAATGTTATTTTAGTCTAATTCCAATTCTAATTGTGCTCAGTTTGAATCAGTTAATTAGAACATCAGCAGAGAAAAAGAAGGAAAATTACAGAGGAAAAACAGGAAGTTTATCCTGCACTAACCTGCCCAGGGTTTTCATGCAGCCTTTAAAAATAACACAGTTAGTGTTAGTACACACTGACTTTTATCCAAATCAGTCCTCACAAAATCACATTGGACCTGTTTCTATTATACTGACTAATTTTAATCTCACCACTGTGCTTTCTGTAGTTTTTCATTACATCCTTTTTATTATCAATTCCTCTTAAAATGTATTAATTAGTACTGTGCAATAGGAGAGCAATTTTGTTGTATTCTCATTCATAAAATAACAATAATAATCTTCCAAAGAGCTTTTTTGTCTGGATGAATAAACTTGACATAACTTCAGGTTTGAGGCTCATAAACATGAAAAAGACGTTTAAGAAGAACAAATCTGTCAACAGCATCAAGCCTTAGTGGTAAATGGGCTCATGTGGGCACGACTGACCACACTTGGACATCACTTTTTTGTGCACACTCACCCACTCATGCAGCCTTATATGATATCCGAGAAGCACTTTGATTATATGGCACATACAAACGATAAATCAGACACTTGTTTCCTGGTACTTTGTTCTGGTCAAAGTACTCGACTCAGTTTAAACACAACTGCTGCCAACAGCTGAAGATCTGTTTGCCTTTGTTTTTGTTATTTTCACCCTGATGCTGGGATGTAGCAGAGATGAGGGGATCTTGTGTCTCAGTGAGTTTCATACCACCAACCTTCAGTCCACAACTGTTACTGGAAACTTCTACGCCTACAGATTCTTTATGAAGTCAAGATAACCTGCTGTACAAAGGCCGACGGCTGTTATTCCACAGGCTGTGACATCTGAGAAATCGGGGCTTCTGCACACAGTCAGCTTCTTGTGAAATCTAATTTCCTCACAGGTGTGTCATTCAGAGGAAAAGTGGCAGTGTCTGGATTTTCTGAAATCTGTAAAAATAATAATAATAAAA